TGTCTAAAACAAAAAGGAAATGCTTTTTAGTGGCTGGATCTGGTTTTATCACATTCTGCATTGGACGTTGAAAATGAGCTTTTCTCAGCCAGCAGAGAGGTCAAAATAAGCAGTAATGCAAACTCAGTCAGAGACACATAGATTTTCACTTGCAACTTGCTTTAACATGTTTAACAGTGCATGAAATGTTGTCTAAAACAAAAAGAATGATGCATTTTAGTGGCTGGATCTGTTTTTATCACTTGCTGCATTAGACGTTGAAAATGAGCTTTTCAGAGCCAGCAGAGAGGTCAAAATAAGCAGTAATGCAAACTCAGTCAGATACATAGATTTTCACTTGCAACTTTCTTAAACATGTTTAACAGTGCATGAAATGTTGTCTAAAACAAAAAAGAATGATGCTATTTAGTGGCTGAAGCTGATTTTATCACTTGCTGCATTAGACGTAAAAGTCAGCTTTTTCCAGCCAGCAGAGAGGTCAAAATAAGCAGTGATGCAAACTCATTCAGATACACAGATTTTCACTGGCAACTTGCTTTTACAGGTTTAACAGTGCATGAAATGTTGTCTAAAACAAAAAGAAAATGCTTTTTAGTGGCTGGAACTGGTTTTATCACATTCTGAATTGGACGTTGAAAATGAGCTTATCTCAGCCAGCAGAGAGGTCAAATCACAGTAATGCAAACTCAGTCAGAGACATAGATTTTCACTTGCAACTTGCTTTAACATGTTTAACAGTGCATGAAATGTTGTCTAAAACAAAAAAGAATGATGCATTTTAGTGGCTGGATCTAGTTTTATCACATTCTGTATTGGACGTTGAAAATGAGCTTTTCTCAGCCAGCAGAGAGGTCAAATCACAGTAATGCAAACTCAGTCAGAGACATAGATTTTCACCTGCAACTTGCTTTAACATGTTTAACAGTGCATGAAATGTTGTCTAAAACAAAAAAGAATGATGCATTTTATGGCTGGATCTGTTTTTATCACTTTCTGAATTGGACGTTGAAAATGAGCTTATCTCAGCCAGAAGAGAGGTCAAATCACAGTAATGCAAACTCAGTCAGAGACATAGATTTTCACTTGCAACTTGCTTTAACATGTTTAACAGTGCATGAAATGTTGTCTAAAACAAAAAGAATGATGCATTTTAGTGGCTGGATCTGGTTTTATCACTTGCTGCATTAGACGTCAAAATCAGCTTTTTCCAGCCAGCAGAGGTCAAAATAAGCAGTGATGCAAACTCATTCAGATACACAGATTTTCACTGGCAACTTGCTTTTACAGGTTTAACAGAACATGAATTGTTGTCTAAAACAAACAGAATGATGTTAATTAATGACTAAAGCTGTTTTATCATTTGCTGCACTAGATGTCAAAATCAGCTTTTCCCAGCCAGCAGAGAGGTCAAAATAAGCAGTAATGCAAACTCAGTCAGATACACAGATTTTCACTTGCAACTTGCTTTAACATGTTTAACAGTGCATGAAATGTTGTCTAAAACAAAAAGAATGATGCTATTTAGTGGCTGAAGCTGATTTTATCACTTGCTGCATTAGACGTAAAAGTCAGCTTTTTCCAGCCAGCAGAGGTCAAAATAAGCAGTGATGCAAACTCATTCAGATACACAGATTTTCACTGGCAACTTGCTTTTACAGGTTTAACAGAACATGAATTGTTGTCTAAAACAAACAGAATGATGTTATTTAATGACTAAAGCTGTTTTATCATTTGCTGCACTAGATGTCAAAATCAGCTTTTCCCAGCCAGCAGAGAGGTCAAAATAAGCAGTAATGCAAACTCAGTCAGATACACAGATTTTCACTTGCAACTTGCTTTAACATGTTTAACAGTGCATGAAATGTTGTCTAAAACAAAAAGAATGATGCTATTTAGTGGCTGAAGCTGATTTTATCACTTGCTGCATTAGACGTAAAAATCAGCTTTTTCCAGCCAGCAGAGGTCAAAATAAGCAGTGATGCAAACTCAGTCAGAGACATAGATTTTCACTTGCAACTTGCTTAATCATGTTAAACAGTGCATGAAATGTTGTCTAAAACAAAAAAGAATTATGCATTTTAGTGGCTGGATCTGGTTTTATCACTTTCTGTATTGGACGTTGAAAATGAGCTTTTCTCAGCCATCAGAGGTCAAAATAAGAAGTAATGCAAACTCAGTCAGAGACATAGATTTTCACTTGCAACTTGCTTTAACATGTTTAACAGTGCATGAAATGTTGTCTAAAACAAAAAGAATGATGCATTTTAGTGGCTGGATCTGGTTTTATCACATTCTGTATTGGACGTTGAAAATGAGCTTTTCTCAGCCAGCAGAGGTCAAAATAAGCAGTAATGCAAACTCAGTCAGAGACATAGATTTTCACTTGCAACTTTCTTAAACATATTTAACAGTGCAAGAAATGTTGTCTAAAAAAAAAGAAATTGCTTTTTAGTGGCTGGATCTGTTTTTATCACTTTCTGAATTGAACGCTGAAAATGAGCTTTTCTTAGCCAGCAAAGGTCAAAATAAGCAGTAATGCAAACTTAGTCAGAGACATAGAGTTTCACTTGCAACTTGCTTTAACATGTTTAACAGTGCATGAAATGTTGTCTAAAACAAAAAGAATGATGCATTTTAGTGGCTGGATCTAGTTTTATCACATTCTGTATTGGACGTTGAAAATGAGCTTTTCTCAGCCAGCAAAGGTCAAAATAAGCAGTAATGCAAACTCAGTCAGAGACATAGATTTTCACTTGCAACTTTCTTAAACATATTTAACCGTGCAAGAAATGTTGTCTAAAACAAAAAGAAATGCTTTTTAGTGGCTGGATCTGTTTTTATTACTTTCTGAATTGAACGTTGAAAATGAGCTTTTCTCAGCCAGCAGAGGTCAAAATAAGCAAAATTGCAAACTCAGTCAGAGACATAGATTTTCACTTGCAACTTGCTTTAACATGTTTAACAGTGCATGAAATGTTGTCTAAAACAAAAAGAATGATGCATTTTAGTGGCTGGATCTGGTTTTATCACGTTCTGTATTGGACGTTGAAAATGAACTTTTCTCAGCCAGCAGAGGTCAAAATAAGCAGTAATGCAAACTCAGTCAGAGACATAGATTTTCACTTGCAATTTTCTTAAACATATTTAACAATGCATGAAATGTTGTCTAAAACAAAAAGAAAATGCTTTTTAGTGGCTGGATCTGGTTTTATCACTTTCTGAATTGAACGTTGAAAATGAGCTTTTCTCAGCCAGCAGAGGTCAAAATAAGCAGTAATGCAAACTCAGTCAGAGACATAGATTTTCACTTGCAATTTTCTTAAACATATTTAACAATGCATGAAATGTTGTCTAAAACAAAAAGAAAATGCTTTTTAGTGGCTGGATCTGGTTTTATCACTTTCTGAATTGAACGTTGAAAATGAGCTTTTCTCAGCCAGCAGAGGTCAAAATAAGCAGTAATGCAAACTCAGTCAGAGACATAGATTTTCACTTGCAACTTTCTTAAACATATTTAACAGTGCAAGAAATGTTGTCTAAAAAAAAAGAAATTGCTTTTTAGTGGCTGGATCTGTTTTTATCACTTTCTGAATTGAACGTTGAAAATGAGCTTTTCTTAGCCAGCAAAGGTCAAAATAAGCAGTAATGCAAACTTAGTCAGAGACATAGAGTTTCACTTGC